TATATACTTGATTGAAATTATGTATTCTTTTAGCCTGGCAGTGGTGGTGCATGCCTTTAATCCCAGCACTCTGGAGGCAGAGGCAGGCGGATCTCTGTGATTTCGAGACCAGCCTGTTCTACAAGAGCTAGTTCCAGGACAGCCTCTAAAGCCACAGGGAAACCCTGTCTCGAACCACCCCCCCCAAAAAAGAAATTATGTACTTTTTATACAACTTCAAATCTGGTATCTTTTTCTGCCTATATTTTTACAAAGTATGAAGTTGAACAGTAGCATCTTTCCTTTCATTGAAAAAATATCCTATTTCCTCTCTGGGTTAGATCTAAACCTAAAATAACTGAAGAAACCCAAATCTGGTACTAAAAGAATGCACACATGAGGATGTTTTGATATTGTTATAGGCATTTATTATATACACCATCAAAGAAATCTTAGTAACAGTATTATGGTATGCTTTTACTCTTTCTTACTTATATGCTTCCATAGCAACTTCTGTGTTTCTGTAATTGCACAACTTTGGTGATTATGGGGGTTATGTCATCTAGCATCTGAATCCTTGGATAGCAATCCTCATTGATGAAGTGCTGGTTGTTTTAATTTTTTTAAATCAGTTTAACACAAGCTAGACTCATCTGTGAAATGAAACTTCAAGGGAGAAAGCAGCCCTACCAGATTGACCTGTAGTCAAGCCTATGGAGCATTTTCTTTTCTTTTGGTTTCTCGAGACACTATTTCTCTGTGTAACACCCCTGATTGTCCTGGAAGTCACTCTGTAGGCCAGGTTGGTCTTGAGCTCACAGAGATCTTCCTGCCTCTGCTTCCAGAGCACTGGGATTAAAGATGTGAATGACCACTGCCAGGAGATGGAACATTTTTTTTGATTTATGTGGGAGGACCCATGTCAATATGGGCATTGCCACCCTTGGGCTGATGGTCCTGGGGTACATAAGAAAGTAAATTTGGAAAGCCATGGAGTACAAGCCTGTACACAGCATTCCTCTATGACTTCTGCTTTATTTGCTTCTTCCAGGTTCCTGAATTGAGTTCCAGCCTGACTTCCCTCAGAAATGGACTGTTACTTAAAAGCATAAGATGAAATAAACCCCCTTTCTCCTTAAGTTGCTTTTGGTCATGATGTTTTATCGTAGTAATAGAAACTTAACTATGACAACTATCTTTGTAATTCTCAGAGGTTTTGTGTTGTGAATTTGGCTAATGCACAAGTTAATATTTAGGTTGCTGGATTTACTTTGTCTTATCCCCAGTGATGTTTCTTCAGCTTGAGGGTGAATAAGTTCTTTGCATTTTACTTGACTAAGGTATGAAAATTAGGGAAATTCCCTGCCATCTGATACCATACCTGATTGGTATACCCATGAGAGATAGTTTACTACATTCTTGTCCTCGGACTAGAGAGCTAAAGATAGCTATGTATGTACCACAAACCCAAATCACAAACTATTTAAAATATTGTGATTTTTTTAAAAAGTAAGTTGGAGTTATTGTTCTCAAGAGTGATCTTTGTATAATTGTGACAGTACTTTTACAATATAAACTTTCCATTTTAGCTTGATTTATCTTTGCTTAGTAAAGCTTCCATTGTTCCAAAGTCATGTAATTTCTTAAAATGTAACTTGGGATTGGGACTCAAAAGAGATATGCAGATAACACCATCTGAGACATGTTATAAATGAAAAGCTATGCTTCAATTTCTGTGGGACCTGTTTCTCTTTGAGAGCTAGCAAAACTGGATACATGTTATTATTATTATTAAGTAGGTTGTTGTCCCCAAAATAGTGACCTTTGTTGATGATATCTTCATTTAACAGTATCTAAGGTTGTACATGTCTGAAGTTACATCATGGGGTTATAGTGATTCCTTGATAAATGGAAATAGGCGTTATTTTGATTTATTTTGTATTCTACTGATTTCTTAATCTAAATGTGTTAGGTAATTTTCTGTGTTTTTATTGAATTTATACATTTCAGAAGGGAAGATCATCAGCAAACATTAACATATCTTATGAATAGAGGTCTGAGTGCATCAGACTCCCAATAGTTCCAATGCCTCCAGTAATGTAGCTTTAGCCATTTCTGAGAAAGGTAGAAACCCTTTCTGTCATAGTGCTCATATTTGAATGGTCCTTTCCCAAGAGGAAAGCTGTGCAAAGTCAAACTTCCAAATGAAGAATTGCATAAAACATGTTTACAGTCTACTTCAGTGTCACACACCACATTTAGCTTTGAGAAATAAGGTAAGAAAACATATGAGAAAGGTCATATCTTCAAAACTTTTTATTTAATAACAGCCTCAGTAAAGTGGATTGAAGGGAACCACAGCACTATTTTCAAGGCTGCTATGGATATTTTCATTTCAGTGCTAAAAGTAAACCCATGTCCTTGCACATGCTAAGTTTATAGCCTATGACCAAACTACAATCTCATCCATGGATGTGCAATCTAAAACTCACCCAATGTTTGGTCTTCATATTTTGTCATTAATGAAGAAACTAAAAATTAAAAACAATGTGATCTTCTCGTATGAATGTGCTTCTTTTGGGTATATACCTAAGGGTGGAATTGCTGGATCTTGTGGTAGACTGATTCCCATTTTCCTGATGAGTTGCATACTGATCTCCAAAGTGGCTGTACAAGTTGACACTCCCAACAGCAGTGGAAGAGTGTTCTCATTTCTCCACATCCTCTCCAGCATAAACTGTCATTGGTGGATTTTTATTTTAGCCATTTTGACAGGTGTAAGATGGTATCTCAGAGTTGTTTTGATTTTCATTTCCCTGATGGCTAAGGATGTTGAACACTTTCGTATGTGTCTTTCAGAATTTTAGATTCCTCTATTGAGAATTGTCTATTTAGTTTTGTACCTCACTTTGTAATTGGATTGTTTGGTGTTTTGGAGACTAGCTTCTTGAGTTCTTTGTATATTTTGGAGATCAGCCTTCTGTCAGATGTGGGGTTGGTGAATATCTTTTACCAGTCTGTGGGTTGCCTTTTTGTCTTGCTGACGGTGTCCTTTGCCTTACAGAAGCTTCTCAGTTTCAGGAGGTCCCATTTACCAACTGATGATCTCAGTGTCTGTGCTAATGGTGTAATGTTCAGGAAGCGGTCTCCTGTACCAATTCGTTCAAGGGTATTTCCCACTTTGTCTTCTAATAGGTTCAGTGTGGCTGGGTTTATTTGAGGTCTTTGATCCATTTGGACTTAAGTTTTGTGCGTGGCGATGGACATGGATCCATCTGCAGTCTTCTACATGCCAGCATCCAGTTATTCCCGCACCATTTGTTGAAGATGATTTCTTTATTCCATTGTATAGCTTTAGCTTCTTTGTCAAAAATCAGGTGTTCATAGGTGTGTGGGTTAATATCGGGATTTTCAACTCTATTCCATTAGTCTACCTGTTAATTTTTGTGCCAATACCAAGCTATTTTCAGGACTATAGCTCTGTAATTGAGCTTGAAGCCAGGGATGGTGATGACTCCAGAAGTTCCTTATTATGCAGGGTTGTTTTGGCTACCTTGGGTCTTTTGTTTTTCCATATAAAGTTGAGAATTGTTCTTTCAAGGTCTGTGAAGAATTGGGTTGGGATTTTGATGGGGATTGCATTGAATCTGTAGATTGATCCTACCTATCCAAGAACATGGGAGATCCTTCCAAACAAAGTTCATACCAGCACTATTTGTAATAGTCAGAACCTGGAAGCAACCTAGATGCCCCTCAATTGAAGAATTGATAGAGAAAATGTGGTACATTTACACAATTGAGTATTACTCAGCAGAAAAAAACAATGGATTCCTGAAATTTGTAGGAAAATGGATGGAACTAGAAGAAACTATCATGAGTGAGGTAACCCAGTCACAAAAGGACAAACACGGTATGTACCCACTCATATACTGATATTAGACATAAAGGATTACCAGCCTACAATCCACACTGCCAGAGAAGCTAGTAAACACATAAAACCCTAAGAGATACATTCATGTTCCCCTGGAGAAGGGGAAAGGGACAAGATCTCCTGAGCAATTTGCCAGCAAGTGAAGAGGGGGGAGGGAGCTAGGAGAATGAGAAGGGGAGAAAAGGAGGGGTGAGGAAGACATGAGGGAGCAGAAAGTTTAAGTAGGGGGAAGAATAGAAGAAAACAAGAAAGGAGATACCATAATAGAGGGAGACATTTTAGGTTTACAGAGAAATCAGGCACTAGGGAAATGTCTGGAGTTCTACAAAGATGACACCAGCTAACAATCTTAGCAATAGAGGAGAGGCTATCTTATATGCCCTTCCCTGATAATGAGATTGATGACTGACTTATATGTCAGCCTATTGTCTTCATCCAAAAGCTTGTGGAAGTAGAAGCAGACACCCTCAACTAATCACTGAACTGAACTGGAATCCATTTGCAGAGAAGGACGAGTGATTAGCAAAGGGGTCCAGACTAAGCTGGTGAAACCCATGGAAACAGCTGATGAACAATGGGGAGCTCTTGGTTCCTAGACTGATAGTTGTGATACCAGCATGAGACTGATCCAGACCCCAGGAATGTGGGTTTCATTGAGGAGACCTCGGAAAACTACGGGACCTCCTGTAGTAGTTCAGTACTTATTCCTAGCATAGGTGTGGACTTTGGGAGCCCATTCCACATAGAGGGATATTCCCTGAACCAAGACACATGGAGGTCGGCCTAGGCCATATCCCACAGGATATGATAGACTCTGATGACCCCCCCCCATGGAAGGCCTCACCCTCCCTGGGGAGCAGAAAGGATTATGTGATAAGTAGGGTTTTTTTTTTACATGAAAGAACAAACGATAATTTTATTAAACTACTGAATGCTTGCACATAATACATAAACTTTAAACTGCCAAGATTTTTGATAAGTGCAATACCATGTTCAAACAATCATAGTATAACTTTTAATATTACATCATTCCGAATCACGTTGCAAAACTTTAACTTGTAAGGGATTACACCAGTGTCCCATTTACTCTCTATAGCAAAACTGGGTCCCTGGTAGATGTCTCAGCATATGGATGTACAGCCTGAGCTCCTTCTGTGACAGCTTTGACACACTTGGCCATTGTCTGTGAGGCTCTACTGATTGAATCTGTCATATAGAAGTCTTTTATGGTCAGCTGAGGTGGGACAAGTGGGTCAGCAAGAAGTTCCTGGTTCACTAGCTTGGCATGGTCAGTTGCTTGCTGAAAGTAATTCTCTCCTTCAACATCATCATATCGAACAAGATTAGGAGAGACCTCTTCTAGACGCTTCCTCACTTGATCCAGAGTATCATATGGAAGAGTGAGACATGCAATCTCTGAGAGAGCATTTATGATTTTCCAGTCTTCTCTTGCCAAGCCAGGAGGCATCATGGCTACTTTGGTTTGCTGGGCTCCACCCTCAGTATTGACATAAGTAGCAGACTTTTCTGTGTAAGCAGCCCCTGGGGAAATAACATCAGCTATGGGAGCACCCACATCACCATGATGGCCTTGGTAAATAATGAAACAATCCTTTGGCAAGTCCTGTCGTGTGATACAACCTCCATCTGCTCCCAGAAGAAAGAGCACTTTGGGAGGGTTCTTCCTAATTGCGTCTGTCCCAGGTTTACAGGCATGGTCCAAAGCAGCTACCTGGCTTGCAATCCTATGCAGGACATTCATAACTTTCCAGTCTCCAGAAACACTGCTTGTCACTCGAATAGTTTGTGCAATGTTGGACATGGCTGCAAGAATTGCTGCTCCATCATTTCTCTGGAGTGCAGAACTGCCTAACACCACCATTGGTTTTTTTGTTTGTTTGTTTGTTTAGCTTCCTTTAAGACCTGGCTGAAAATATGGCTCCCGGAAGCAATGTCTTCCAGAATTTTTGGAGAATCTCCTAGATGGTCGTATCTGTAAGTGAGGTCCACTGGACTACCTATGAGGGACACTTTTAAGTCATTATGAAGCCAGAGCATATTTAATCTTAGCAGATATAATTTCTTGTGTATATTTCAAAGTAAGAGTGTTGTAAAAATGTATAAACAATTCAGGGGAAAGAGTTGTGGTGTAGGAGTCCTAAGTACAAGTACAATGTAAACAATGACTATTTTAGAATAAATAACTGACTTATATGTTAAATTTCACAGTACTTGTATGGCAAAGTCAGTTATTTCTCAAATATTCCTGAAAATAAACTGTCTATTTATTACTCTCTACAGCAGAGTGTTATGGAGCTTACTTTGAATATGTTACCTATAATGCTCGTGTGAAGCAATGCTCATTTATCTGTTACCCTGAAGGAGTAACTCCCTCTTTCACTCTCAGCATTTCCAAGATTGGACAATAAATTATATGTTTACCCTACTGTAAGTGTCTACAACACAAGTGAAAAGGTGTACTAGGAACCAGTGCTACAACAATTCATGGTTTAGGGTGAGGGAATCTGGGGGTTAAATAAAGACAAGACAGTGGGTCATTCTTGCAAGGAGGATGCCTGATAAGTAGGGTTTTAGTTGGGGCGGTGATAGGGGAGGAGAGGAGGGAGAGGGAACTGGGATTGACATGTAAAACAATCTTGTTTCTAATTCAAATAAAAAATAAAAAATAAAAAAACCAAAAAACCCCAATGTGATCATTCTTCATTAGTTAAGATATTCAAGTACTTAGAGCTTCCAGCTCATCCTCATTTCAATAGCAAACAATCATGTTTGAAAGGTATTCAAACTCTTCCTCTAAGGGTCGAAATTTTGAGTTGGTAAGCAACTGGCTTTATTGAAGCTCCTTAGTGATATATCAGATTCATTTAGTAGCAAACAAAACTCTGAATTTGAAGGTTATATGGACCTGAATCCCTTTACCAAAAATCATAAGAAGAGGAATTAAAAGATTATATAAAACCATTTGGAACATGAAAGCAGATCTTAGCAAAAGTATCAAATAGTTACCACTAATAAAATTTGCTACATAAGTGAAGACTATTCCAGAATGTCACCTCATATTGATAGTGTCATTTTGATTTTGATTTTTAGTCCCAAGTTGCACCAAATCATTAATTAGTGATTAAGCCTCTATGATAGTAAGAGTAAAAAGAGACATATTGTGCACGTGGATATATATTCTTTTTAATTTGACATTGGAGCATTAATAATAGATAATAATTGACATTAATGGACATTCCTAAAACATCTATTATTTTTGCATATTCTGAACAAAACTTGTAATGTGTTTCATTTGACTCCTTTGCATTACCAAATCAACAGCAGCATTAATTATGAAACTATGTGCCAATGTATTTGTTTCTTTTGATTTGTTAAGAGCTCATTTTTGTTGGATTGGGCTTTTTCCTGACAATTATAATCATCTGAAAAATCTTTCACAGAGCCATTCAAAGAAGCTTTAGAGAGTTAGATTAGGACTTTTCTTTCATGCAAATTTTGTAAAAGAACAATTTCCAGATGACAGTAATGGTTGAAATAGTTGAGAAGTTCAAAATTACAATAAAGAGTGAAATGGACCACTTACTGTATGGGTTACAGAAAACAACAACAAAGACCAAATATGACTACCTCTACGATTCCAAATGAGGAATTATTTTCATTTCTTGAGTGTCACTTGAACATGGTACATGCAGCAGTATAGGAAGGGTGAATTTGGCTTTGTAAGTAATTAGCACAAATCCAGCTTCAATTTGAACCACTGGATCACAGTACACTATCATCAGAAAGTAAACATATTCCTGCTCTGCCCATGTAACTTGATTTTTTATGGTTGTAAGTCAAGATCTCCTCATAGGGTTATTCTCAACACTTGGTTCCTAAGATTCTGTTCACTTGATTGCCATATATCTCTAAACATGGATTGCAAGGGGCTGTAGAGTTGGCTTAGCAGTTGAGAACTCTTTCTGCTTTTCTAAATGACTGCAATTTAGTTTTGAGAACCCATGTTAGGTTGCTCCTAGCCTGTTGTAACTCCATCTCCAGGGGTATCACATGTTCTCTTCTGGTTACTTATGGAACCTGCACTTATGAGCACATATTCCTCCACAGACACACATGTATACATATAACATAAAAAGTATTTTTAATACCTCCATAATCTGGAAAAATAGACATGAAAATGCAAAGTAGACAACTTGTACGAGGAAGGGCATAAGAAATTAGGAGAAGGATGATGAGAGAGGGCAATGGGTATATTATGACCAAAGCACATTATATATGTAGAAAAATGTCATGATGCAGTCTATTAATTGTACAGTTAATATATGTTAATATAAATGTGAATAAAATAGCTCCCATTATTTCACAAGTGGCTTGTTGAATATAGAACAATATTGTTTTCTTTCACCAATATAATACCTTCCAAACTGTACAGCTCAAAACAGCATCATTTGATCTTGTGTACCTTATGAGCAGGGTTTAGGGTACTTTCAGTCATCCCCAAATGTATGTCTTTTTCTTTTTCTGGCATGAATGTGACATTTGAATCACCCTTCATTGCCTTGTTCGTAATGGGATGAGGGGAATTTTTTTGATGTACAAAGTTGGGTCTTCTTTTATTTTCCCTCCCATGTAATTTTGGTTGGTTTCTTTTCAGCATTGGAGATATGAAATTCGGGTGTTGAAATTAACCAACCCAGGATTCAATACTGGTTTCATTAATTTATATCTGATTTTATGCCTCATGTGTTGGCTTCCTATCATTATTTCATTTTTATTCATAAATCAGGCTTAAATTAGTATGTATCTTAAAGAATTATTTTAAGAATTAGAGTTGATACATGCAAAATACTTACCACATTGCATAAGCTATAATAATTATTTAATGAAAATTGTTACAATTTCTTTTTTCTCAATCATTCCTGGAGAAAATCAATTTCTTTATATTGGTATCTTTTCCTGTTATCTGTGTTTCTTGAAAGTATTATTTCTCAGTGTGTTTTACTTCTCCATTACCTGTCTCTGCATTCTTACTAGATCTGTGGGTTTTTAAATCCATCTTATTGATTTAGTTTTTCCTGTGCAAAGTGTTGATCTGCTATTTAGTTCAGATCTTCTGTTTTATATAATTTTGATTTCTTTGAAGAAAAATGGGGTCTAACATACTGAACTGTTTTTCTTTTTCATGTTGGATGGTGTTTACATTTTCTCTGTTAGTTTTTTCTTTTCAAGGTCTTATCATTTATTTGTTACCATTAAAGACTTTTTTCGTTTTTTTTTTTTTTAACTGGATGTAGACTTAGAAATAGAAGCTCTCAGAGAGGACAGGCTAAGTTTCCTGGAAATTTGTTCCTCGCATTTTTCTTTGGCTTCTTTCAGTCTCCCAGGCAAAGATTTTGCACATGCCACAGCTTCCTTATTTATCTTAGTACATTTTTTTTTCTTAGAGCAATGTAATGGTGTTTGTATTTCAGCACACGTGGATGAATATGACATTGAATCTTGGGCTTCTTACCTTCTTTGTTTAAGTACTTTCTGACAACATATTGGTGGACATTCATCTCCTTTAGAGATATTGAAATGCATTCAGATTCTGCTAGCTGTTTGGGATCTCAACCATTGAGGCACATTAGTATCTGTGACTTGTGGAATATCCTTTTCTCCTTTCTTTACAATAACTAAGTTGAGAACATTCAGATTGACATTCACAATGCATCTGTGAACAGACTTGTTCTTCCTGTCTCCAGTTCTTGTCTAGAAGAAGAATTTCCCTTACTTAACAACAGGTGCACTCTGCCATGTTTCAAGACATCTTGCTTCAGGGGAAAACCTTGTTTATCATTTCCATCACTGATTTACATCATATAACACTGCTGTTCTTCACCCAGACTATCATCAGCTGCTTCTGTGGACATTCCCTTCACACACAAAGTTCAAAGGTTGTGTTTATTGCCTGCTTCAACAAATTTCTGATAGCGGGTGGCTGAGAAGGAGATATTCATTCATCTTAACACAGCCGACACCTAGGAGGCACCACAAAAAGAGCCACTCGATTTTTTTTCCCCTCTGGACTCTTGCCTTCATCTTGTAGATACTCTTATACTGTGTCCCAACACCAGATGCCATTTATTAGTTTTTCTTTATTGCTGTGAGAAATATTTTTGTTACAGGAAGCTTCTTTACTTGAGATTTAAATGCTACATACTAAATTTCTCTTTACTTAATTCTGAAGTGCAGTCCATCCAGCCTTGACAGCTGTCAATAGGAGAATGCCTCAGGTTTTGTTGTCCTTCCATGAAAATGCCTACACCAAGAGAACAGTTGAAATTGAAAAGCCAGTATCTCTCCATGGAGGGCTTAGCCATTCAGATACTCTTTTCCTCAGCTCTGCATTCACAGATCTGAAGCACTCATATGCAATTCCTAAGGAAACATGTGGTTGAGCTCCCATCAAACTTGACTAACATAGCTAAGTGATAGGCTAGACTTAGCTTCTGGATTGCTTTTTTATTTATGTCTGCTCTAGCCTGGTTATTCTACCAGAACAAAGACCTGGTTGTTTACTTCTTTGTCTGTGTGACCTATAACAGTCATTAGTTCATCTTATGCATTCAATAACTATTCATTGACTAGATATGAATCATTTCATTATGAGAATGTAGTCTCTACCTAGCCTTCTATCAATCCTTTTTGCTGAACTCTGTCTGGTAGGGACTACTTCTATTTTATGCCCCACTTTAACTGTACTGTCATGATTAGTTTTATGAGGTAGTTTGATCAGACTCTGGGAACAAGTTTTGGTCCAAACACTGATATAGATGTTACTGATAGAATATTTCTGAAATTTGATTGCATTGAAATAAGTGG